GAGATTTGGATACTATGGATTTGTATTTTATTTCTTATAAAATTTTAATTTTTCTATTTATAATAAATGATCAGTTTTTAAAAAGTTGGTTAAGTGTGCTTTTTTTCTCCCATTTAAAATGCTTTTCTTCTGAGATCATTGTAGTTGGTTTTCTAACTTGCCAAATTTTAGAGTATGACTCTTGCAAATATACTACTCTAAGAAATGCTTATTGGATTAAAATATTCCATTTTCCTTGCTCATCCTCATTCTGCAGTCACTAGAACTGATATATATATCCTTTCCTTCATTTAAGAAATATTTATTGTACGCCTACTATGTTCCAAAAGCATAGATTGGAGAAAAGCAAGTCTGGAGGCAATAAAATTGATCAGGAGACTATTTCAGTAATCTCGGCAAGAGATGATGATGATACAGAATAGAATGGTGGCAGTAGAGATTAAAAGAGAGAAGAGGACCAACTCAAAAGTAGAATCCACTGTATTTGATGGTCACATGTAATTTATGTTCGAGAAAGAGTCAAGAAGACTTCAGATTTCTGGCTTGGACAACTAAATGATGTCACTGACTTTAATAGAGCTAGGAACATAAGAAAATGAGCAGTTCAGTTTGAAACTCCTGAGTATGAATGCCTGGGAGGACTTCAAGTGGACCATTGGATGTACAGGTCTGGAATTCAGAAGAAATTAGTTGGTCCATGGATGAGCTGATGCACACCAAATATGTAATTGAAACCGTGGGAGTGGATAAATAGTCCAGGGAGAATGTAGAAGAATGGAAAGGAAAGAGAAGGTGTCCTAGAAGAGAGCTCTCAGGAACACCAGCATTTACGTAAAAAGGAAGAGGAAACAGAAGGAACTTCAGAAAAATTAATAAAACCATAAGAGAGATTTTGGTATTAGAGAAACAAAGCGAAGAGCATGTGTCAAGAAGATGTCAATAATATGAGATGTGGTTGTGCCCATGGGATTTAACAGGAGTTCATAGATGAGAGAGCAGGGCAAACTGAGCCAGGTTGTACTGGATGGAGGGCATGTAGAGACTACAAGTGCAGAAAATGCCCTCAAGAAGTTCTGTTTGGAAGGGGCATTGAGAAAGAGTGTGGGACTTGCTAAAGTATGTAGTGAAAAGTTTTTGTTCTTGTCATTGTTTTAGCAGTGGGAAGATCATGGTCATGTTTTTGGTGCTAATGGGAAGAACCCGAGAGAAAGAAAGATAGATCAAGGGAGTAGACGGGATCCACCGCACAAATAGAGCAGTTGCCCTCAGCAGGAGGGAATGACCTCTTGGCACAAAGTGGGGAAAGAAGAAAGATGGGTCCAAGTGTAGTTATCTGTAGGTCTGATGGAGAACCTCAGGTGAAGTTCTCCATCAAAGATCACTTGAGTCTGAAGTTTTTAGGACAGTCTTTTGAGTGAGATGGAGTCCTCACATAGCTGCAAGAAGCAGCTTAGCCAGTCGCACTTCTACATAAAACCTGCCAGCAGAGGCACTTGTGGAACAGGCACAGAGTGCTTAGCTCTGGAATAATAGCATTGAATTTCATGATTTCAAGAATGTTCTGTGTTTACCTACATTCTTAGAAAATACAGGGCTGAAGTTGAAGGGGTCCAGAGTAAGGCATTGTGATTTTTTGCTGAAGGAGTTTGAGTTCCTAAGATCCTCTATCTACCTAAAAGCAGAGCCTCCCGGAAGAACTGTTATCATAAATGGTCTCCCCAGGAACACCTCTAATCTTCTCAAACAAACATTGTCACAAAACTATCCTATCTCCCACCTATACTCCTAAGGATCCATTTAATCTTTCCAAAGAGTTGATTATTTTTCTTAAGTGCCCTTTCTCCCCAGCTTCTAAGAAGTCATTTGTTCTTCCAGAAGTGCTCCTCTGTCCCTTCCCATCCCCTATTAGGATGATAGGTAAGCCCTAAATTCTGTCTCCTTGAGTCACATTTCTTTGTGAACTCCTGTGCTATATATGTAATTAAATCTGTTTTTTTCTCTTCCTTATCTGTCTTTTATCAGTTTACTTTGCAGGCCCCAAGTCATTAACCTAAGAGGGTAGAGGAAAATTTTTGCTATATGGCAGAGTGAAGGGACATGGTATTCAAAACATACTCTCAGATGGTTCAGAGAGAGAGATTAGTAGTAGTTCTATTTTCATAGAATGTTGATGGCAGAATATTAACAATTGTTGAATCTGGATGAAGGGTATGAGGGAGTTCTTTGTACTCTTCTTGAAACTTTTGTTTGAAATTATTTCAAAATAAAATGATTTTTTTAAAAAAAGAACCAGCTTCTAGCATTTATTTCTGCTTTTTCATTTTCTATTTTCATCTATTTCCAGTATGAACACCTTTTTATTTCACAACTTCCTATGAGTGGAAAGAATGAGGAATTTGAAAGATAAAGCTACTTTTTGGGTTTGGGCAAATGATATCTCTCTGTCTTAATTTCTTGTTTTTGAGGGTAATACCTTCAAAAATTCTGTAATGTGAACTGAGATAGACACACAGTAGGCACTCTGTAAATGTTATTCCCTACCCTTCCAGGGCCAGTTCAAGTCTCATTGCCCTTATGAAACTTTCCCTCATCATCCCTATGATAACAACTTATTTTGTATCACACCATACATTTAGCTAAGTGGCTTTTTCATACATTACCTCCTTGAATTCCCCCTTACAGTCATTTTCTCTGCTTTATAGGTTGGGATGTTTAATGAAGTTAAATGACTTCACTAAATAAAGGGTTAATATCCAAAATACAAACAACTCATACAACATTAAAAAGAAATCCAATTTAAAAATGGGCAGAAGTACTGAATAGACATTTTTCCAAAGAAGATATACAAATGGCCAACAGGCACGTGAAAAGATGCTCAGCATCTCTAATCATCAGAGAAATGCAAATCAAAGCCACAATGAGATATCACTGCAATTGTCAGAATGGCTATCATCAAAAAGACCACAAATAACAAATGTTGGTAAGGATGCGAGCAAAAGGGAACCCTCATATACCGTTGGTGGGAATGTAAAATTGGTGCACAACCTCTGTGGAAAACAGTATGGAGGTTCCTCAAAAAACTGAAAATAGAACTACCATACGATCCAGCAATTCCATTTCTGGGTATATATATGAAGAAAATGAAAACACTGATTAGAAAAGCCACATGTGTCCCAATGTTCTTAGTAGCATTATTTACAATTGCCAAAATATGGAAGCAGCCTAAGTGTCCATCAACAGACAAAAGGATAAAGATGTGGTATATGTTGTAAAAAAAAAAAATGAAATTTTCCCATTTGCAATAACATGGATGGACTTGGAGGGTATTATGCTAAGTGAAATAAGTGAAAGACAAATACTGTATGATATGACTTACATGGAATCCAAAAAATAAACTAGTGAATATAACAAAAAAGAAACAGACTGACAGATATAGAGAACAAAACCAGTGGGGAGGAGGAAGGAAGGAGGGACAAGATAGAGGTTGGGGATTAAGAGGTACAAACTACTATGTATAAAACAAATAAGCTACAGGGGTATATTGTACAACATAACGATATAGCCAATGTTTTATAATACCTGTGAGTGGAGTATAACCTTTAAAACTTGTGAATCACTATGTTGTACACCTGAAACTTATAATATTATAGATCAACTCTACCTCAATTTTAAAAAAGAGTGAATAATAAAGAGAAAAAATGACTTGGCTAAGACCACACAGTCAGTAGAAATGCAAAGATGAGAACTCAGGGTTCTTTTAGCCCCAAGTCTTGTGTTCTGTACGTTACATCATAATTTTATACTTATTCTCAAGTGATTTTTTTTTTTAGTTGCGGTAAAATATACATAACATAAAATTTACCATTTTAACCATTTTAAGTGTACAGTTCAGTGTCACTGAGTACATTCACATTGTGCAAGCATCTCCAGAACTCTCATCTTACAAGACTGTAACTGTACCCTGCAGCCTCTGACAACCACCATTTTACTTCCTGTCTCTATGAGTTTAACTACTCTAAGTACTTCATATAAGTAGACTCATACAGTATTTGTCCTTCTGTGACTGGATTATTTAACTTAGCATGTCTTCAAGGCTCATCCATGTTGTAGCATGTGTCCTCAAGTTTTAAAAACATTTGTGCTCATGACATTCCCCTATGACTTCATGTGTCCTATTTCCCTTCCTGGTTTATGAATTCCTTGAGAGCCGTGATCCTGTACTTACTCTTGGTATGGCGACTCTCATAGTAATACTCACCGAGCTATCTTGAGTGGGTGGATACAGGCCACTATAAAGTAGAAAATGATCCTCTCTTATAGTTGTACATTCCACTTGCACTCCTCCTCTCAGCTATTGGAGACAAGGAGATGGATGAGCATAATTGTACTTTCTACTGTTGCAATGGGAGCCACACATAACTTAAGGCATTTCCCCAGGTTGGAGTACGGCAAGCATGTGAATTTTAGGCATGTAGAGTTAGCTCCCTGCTCACTGTAAAAAATGTATATGCAGTATTGTTTAAAGAAAAGAAAAGATCTTGTCTTTTACTAATATAAGGTGAGTGAGAGTTAGGTAATTTTTTTCCACCTCTGAGAAAAATGAAAGTGGCTTGTCACATTATGATAAGAATGAACTTTTCAGATAATTCGTCATCAATCTTTGGTGTTGTCTGAATGTACTGGAGATGCATTTGCCTTGTCATACTATATGATTATTAAATAATTCCTACAAAGAATAAAAAGAAGAAATGGAACAAGAATTATTTGGGGTCCAGGTTTTAGCTTAGCCACCCACTGGTGACTGTCAGAAGTTGAAAGCCTTCAAGTCCCTTCTCACTAACATGCCCAAGCCTCCACCTCTAAGAAGCAGCAGAGCTTCAAGGACAAACCTGGCTTCAGAGCCCAGTGGGGAATGTGGCCAGGTCAGGGGCAGCCCCAGGAAACTCACAGGTCTTCATCTCTTTGTCTGGCAGGAGCTTCTGCTGGAGCACAATCCGCCAATCCCATTCCTGAAGGAAGATGTTCAAGGAGTATGTCCGAAAATCAGAAGGCACCTGCTTCCAGGAAGAAAGCCTATGCTTCAACCAGCCTAAATCTACTTCAGGCAAGGGAACTCAGAAGAGATGCAACCTGAGAGATTGACTCACGTGTTTTGAACCAGGACCTCCAGCACACTTTGGAGAGTGGTTAGTATGAAGTAATTGGATGCAACCTGAAAAGTAAAGGGGTTGAACATACGAAATGATTTCCCTTTGTATGTCTTTGAAAACACTATTAGCACATTTTTTGAACATGCAAGCTCTGTGGAAATAAGGCAACACCCAGGATTTCAAAGGATCTCCCTTACCAAAGGGAAATCAGCAGGCTTCTATGTTGGGAACTTACTATAACCTTCACCTACTTGCAGTTTTATATAGTATAAAATATTTCTCATACTGAATTGGGTTACATTTTTCATTTTCAAATCGAAACAAGAAATATAGGGAAGAGGTACCTATTTAGAATGCTCATAGAATGTTTGTAATATCACAGATTTTTTAATTGAGGAGCATTCTCCCAAAATATGAGTTGGTGTACACATTTGGTTGCCTACCCAAAAGCCATTGCCCTCTTTTCCCTTCTGGCAGGGCGTGCTTCCCATAAGAGAGGCCAGAAATGCCAGATACTGTCTCTTTTACCCTCATTGCAGGGAGGGCTGACCATATGGCCCACGTCTGGTCAATAAGCATTTCAGCAACAATCCGTTTAGAGCCTTCTAAAAAGATTAAAAAGATTTTCCATCCTGATGAAAGCAAGATATTCAAGAACTTTCTTTCCCACCTCTTCCTTTCTGTCGTTTCTTAGGCCATGAGAGCTGAGGAGGCTATACTGTAGCCATTAAGCAGTAGATAAAAGTGAACCACTGAGGATGTCAACATACAAGGATGGAAAGAGTCTGGGTCACTGATGACACTGTTTATGTTGGGACAACCACCTACCTCTCAATTTCTTGTAGGTAAGACAATAAAACTTTCTGTTCCTTATGCCACTTTAAGTTGGATATAGTTATTCACAGCTGAAAGCTTCTTAACTGATCCAAGGATATTTTAAGTACAGTCCAGGAAGAAACTATTTTATACCCAATATTACTAATTTTCCCTCAGATATTAGGAGGGCATATTACTGAACATAAATACACGAGAAAATCTTTGTAAGACTGGGAATACATGGAGGATCCCAGGATACAGCCCAAGGGTTACCCTTGTGATGTTTCAGGCATTGTACCATGAGAAAGAGTTGATCATAATGTATGAGGAAAGACATACTACTAGAGTGGAAATGTATATTGGGAAAAAATTGGGGCCAAATTTATTGGCACAGTTATTAGAACACACTCCAAAATTAATTGGTTTCAATTTTAAGGGCAAAGATAAGGCTGCCAATCTGAATTAGTCAAGGCTTTTTTTAAGGATCCCAATTCAAATGTGTCATTTATTCTAATTGTAATGAGGGTTTTAAATTGTCCAATTTGAAATACCATATGAATTCTTCAGATTTAAAGTAGAATTCATAAATGAAGCAGCTTTGAAGTTGTTTCTGTAACACTTAAAAAAAAAAAAAACCTAGATATCTGAACTTGAATTTTTCTTTAAAAAAAAAAGTATTTACTAATAAAGCATTGTTATTCACAGGTAATTACAAAATGAACAAATCTGTTATTTTTACCCAGCATTTTGCTAGAAAGCTATCTGCATTAACATTTAAGATTTTACTGTAATTTATATGGGACACACACATTTGATTTGCAGATTTGGAACACTATACTTAACAATTGATGTCCATTTTACTTTTCCATTTATTTGCTAAGACATATATTTTTCTCAAAATGTGTCAAGTTGAAAAATGAAATTAATATGGAAACATCTGTTAAAGGATGTTAGTGTCCAAGCTCCCCATCTTTTTGCACCTGTCATTCATCTGGACATAACAAGAGCTTATTAAATACAATTCATTTAAATACAATTAATATACCATATGTACCACACCAGTGGTTCTCAACTGGGATGATTGTGTCCCCCAGGGGACATTTGGCAATGTCTGGACACTTTTGAATATCACAACTGGGGAACTGGCAAGGTGCCACTGGCATCTAGTGGGTAGAAGCCAGGTATCCTGCTAAACATCCCACAATGCACAGGACAGTCCCTCAAAATAAAGAATGATCCGTTCCAAAATGTCCGTGGTTCCAGGGTTGAGAAATTCTGATTTAAAACATAACACAAACTGGTTCTGAAACCAAGTTCCCCTAAAACTGAGTTCCTCTGCTGAGTTTATGAATAACCTATCTATCCAAAAACATTATTCCCTTTTTTGTCCCAGACCTATTCTCCTCAAGATTGAGGAGTATCAAAGAAAGGAGGGTGAGTGAAACCAAGCAGGACTCGGCAGGGGCCCTCCTAGGTACAAAGCCTTTCCGTGTTGTGTCCCCTGTTTCTTGTTTGTAGGAGAAAGGTTTCAGCCTTCCCTGAGATCCAAAGGGCAGATTCAAACAGTTACTAATTAGGGAAGTGAGAGAATGCAGAAACAAAGGAAAGCAAGAAGCAAAAGTGCAGAGTGTAGTTCCTACTCAAGAGATATACATAGCAATCTGATACATATCTTTGAGTTGTTCTGCAGGAACTAAGGCCCTCACCCAGGTGGAGAATGGTTACTTCAGGCTTAGCACCACCCTGTTAATTCACCACCAATCAGAAGAAAGTCAGACCTTACAGCCCTCACCTCAGATTTTGCCTTTAAAAACTCTTCCCTGAAAACCATCAGGAAGTTCAGATCTTTTGAGCACAATCTGCCAGATCTCCTAGATTGGCCCTCCAGTAATCCTTTCCCTGCTCCAAACTCTGATATTTCAAGTTTGGCCTCACTGTGCGTTGGACACACGAACATGGGTTCGACAACAGTTCTTTGTTTATTAGAATTCCTACAGAGGAAAAAGTAGGTTATTATCATTTTAAAGTCATCTCAACAGTTTCTCAGGGGAAGGCTGGATTCTTATAAACTGTAAAACATTAGGTTGAAATCTAACTTTTATGTATTGACTTTTCTGTATGAGAAATTTCTTTTGATGTTATAATATTTCATTTCATGCAAAGATAGAACTGTCAAAAAGAAATAACAGTCCCAGAATAGAGCCATTTGCCCCTCCACAACAGCAAACCAAGACCTACTGGCAATTTCAACCTCTCCCAAGAATATGACCTTTAAACAGACAATCTGAAATTTCTTGATCAACCCTAGTGAGGTAATCTGCATGACAAAGATCCCAGCCATTCCCTTCCCCAGAAAGAAGATCCTCTGGCCTGAAACAATCCTTTCTTTTCTTTTGCGAGTACCTTCTTGCCCCACCCTCCCTCTGCCTATAAAAACCTTCCATTTTGTACAACCCCTCAGAGTGCTCTTCTCTTTATTAGATGGGATGCTTCCTGATTCATGAATCATTGAGTAAACACAATTAGATCTTCAAATCTACTTGGTTAAATTTTGGTTTTTTTAACAGAACTTAGATGAAGCCTTCCTTCCTGGACCTCCCTCTTTAAAAAATATTGTTTATCTAGTCTTTCTGGAGGTGAACCTGAACTTGACTAACATCGCAAAGCGTGTTCCCCAAGGTGTGCACCATAGATGCGAGTTCAAAGTAAATTATATGGCTATAGGAAAGTCACTTAAAAACTCTTTGTGCCTCAGTATTTCCCTATCCATAGAATAGGCACCTACTTTGCTTATAGCGATAATGTGAAAACATTTCACTTGGAAAGAAAGTTACCATCCAAATCTAAGATCATCAGAAGAGATGATAAGAGAGAAAACAAAGAACACCAAGTTCATGTTAACCTTCCTGGTGTTTATAGTTTAAATGTCTTTTTTTAATTAAGAGCTGGCAACCCTTTATGTCTTTGATAGTCTGACCTGGAACACAGGGAAGAAAAATTCTTTTTAAAGATCTCTGAGGAAGATTGTTCTGCAGTCTATCAGGCTGTTTCAATATCTAGCCTACAATTTGTCATGATAAGACATGACATATTACAGTGTAGATTGTTATAACTAGTTTGGAAAGCAGTTTACAATATTTATCAACTAACCTCAAAAATGTCTATGGCCTTTGAGGCAGTAATTCCTTTTCTGGGAATTTATCCTAAGTATACACTAGGCTTTCTACAAAGAGATGTTCCTAAAAGTGTAATTTACCCCAGTGAATACCTGGAAACTACCTAACTGGCAACCAAAATTGTGGAATGGTTAGATTAAAATGATTAACCTGATTTATCTTTATGTTCACATAAAGCTATTAAAAGTTGTTTTTACAGAACATACGTGATAACATGGGGAAATATTTTCATTAAAAAAGGAAACAGGATATAAAACTTTTTTCCCTGAATGATTATAATAGTGGAAGAAAAGAAGTCAAAAAAAGAAAAGAAAAGAAAAGAAGTCAAGCAAAATCCTATAAACTGGTATAATCAAAGCTGTTTACCCAGAAATTCCACTTCTAAGAGATGATCCTAGGGAAATGATTGGTTATAAGGAAATTAATCACAATGCAAAAAAGAATAGAAACAACTTCAATGGTTTTTTTGATAAAAAGGTGGAAACAACTAAAATGTCCAATAACTCACGCACAAGAGATTAGTGAAATCAATTATGGTACAAATATACAATATAAAAATGAGCAGTCAATAAAATAATGTAGAAAAATGTTTATTGACTTGACAACATGTTCACAATATATTAAGTGAAAAAAATGCAGGTTAAGAAGAGTCCAAATATTAAAAAATCCCTTAAAAGAATAGGAAGAGATAAGAATGTTTATATGCGTAAATGTAAGTCTGAAAGAATATTCTCCTCAAAGATAGCTACTCACTTCGAGTGGGATTATAGGGTGGGTTTTTTAAAAAATTATGCTTATATGTATTTTTCACATTCCTATAGTAAATCTATAATCACAGTGGTTGTACTTCTGGCACCTGCTACTGGAGTCTGTGGCTGACTTGCTCTTGTTAGATATAAGCATTGTAGAAAGTGCAGAGTTGTGTCAGGTAGAGACCAGAAGTCACAAAAAAAAATAGCACATGCTTTTTGTGAAATCAAAAGGTAGCAATGCATTTGTTAATTGGGTATGGCAGAAAGAGGACAGAAGAGCAGGCCACAGATACATAGGTGACAACCTTTCAGATTTATGCACCATCATTCAGCAGGGTTAAAAATGTAGCTTTCTTATTTCCCTAAGTCTGCTCTGATTGACCTTACAAGCTTCCCTCTTCTAGGCAGAAGCAGGGAGGGGGAACAAGATTGAATCCAAGTTCTTCACCTCAATTCAATCCCATAATTTAAAATGTTTTTGTAGGTTAACAGTCTACTTGGATGGCTCAGTTAAGTGCTCAAACGGTAAGCATTCTGCCCCTCCCTCTTCTCTTCTCCAAGAAGGCATCTGGGAGTGTGAAGGAGGGATGTGGCTTCTTTGATCTCAAAGTGGCAAAGGGCAGATGTTAATCCTGCCAAAGAAAAGCAGGATCCAGACCCGGCACCTCCTTCCCATCCTCTGCTTACCCAGCAACTCAAATGACCATACTTCCTGCCCTCGTACTTCAACCTGGAAAGGGGAGAGCAGGACAATTGCATCCTGTGATCGCCCTCCTGGATTCTACTCCCCCTCTTTTCCCCACAACTGAGTCCAGAATGATGGGGAAGGGGGGTGATTTTCCCCCCTCTTCGTTGCTGCCTGGGGGGCCTTCCTTCTATTCTGCACACAGAGTCTATGCATTAAAAAGGAAGCTTTGTTATTTAGAAATCCCTTTCTCCAAAAAGCCTGGGTTTTATGTACATTGTCTTACTAAAAAGAGGTCAAGAAAATCAGCTTTGAAATTCACAACTGATGAATGGCCTCTCTGTTCTGGGCAGCACCTGTCTGTCCTTTCTTTCCTGGGACTATAAGCTTGATGACTCTGTCAGAAGGCTACCAGGAAATAGAATTTAAAGGAGAGAATCAAAATGCATTGGTTTAATTCTTAAAAATGTGTTCCCCAGAGAGGTGAAATTGGATGAACTAAAGTAATGAGATTCATTTTCTTGGTGTCTTGTGAGATTCATCTCTTTTCTTCATGGAGACAAAGTATAATTTTCAAAAACATGACCCTAATGAAAATATAGAGTGCATGTTTGTCACAGGTTTTATCTATTAATAAGGGAGCCAGCAGGACGGTGAATCTGGTACAAAGGGAATTCAAAAGACAGAGATTTATATGTTTGAAAAGGAAGAATATGCTGAAATAACTTTGCTAAATTAGAAGCAAAATAGGGCAATAAAACTAACCTTTGGGGCTATCACTTCTGCACAGAAATCTTTTACATCTCACTGGGAAAAAATCTACAAGTTAACAAGTCTGAGCTTTAATCAAGCCACAGGGCGTCCCCATGGATAACTGAATCCTTGGGTGGGCCTGTTAGATAAAGGCCTTTAAATAAAGCTTCAGTCTCACATTGAAAAGACAAGCACTCATCCTTTTGCCTTATTTCGAAGTGTTAGGTAATTTTTCTTAACATAGTCAAACACTGCATACCTCTCAGCTACCTTAACAGACACAAACCCAGTCTGGTGAGAGCTGATGAAACAAAGAGCCATGAATGAATTTATAAAGAGCCTACAGAAATAAAAGATGGGGTTTTAAAGCAAGTCCAGGTCTCTGAGACTCGAGTGACTAGGTATCTTTAAAAACCTAATTGTGATGTTGCTCCAAACCTAAATTTTTACAGATATTTTATGACTCACAAATTACCCTTTCCTTTTTTAGATTTTTTAATCTAGATAGATTTAATTAGGCCTAAATGATTCCATTACCAAAGCAGATTAATCTGGTTAAATGAAACCATAAACACATATGATAATTTTCAATCATCTTTAGTTACTTAGGTTACCATGGCCTATGAAATGTATGCTAGCCTATTAGGTTACTGAAGTGACAAACATTATTTCATTGATAAGACATATTCAGAGTTGGCTTAACTTTAAGGAGTTGAGCACAGTTCAGGTATAAACCACTCTCCAATTGATAATAGTTTCCAAGATAGTTCTGATTTTTAAAGAACTCATAACAGCTCATTTGTAACACTATCCTCCCTATTCAGATGGTTCTTTTTTTTTTTCTTTTTCTTTTTTTTTCTTTTTTCTTTTTTTTTTTTTCAGATAGTTCTTGAAGTATGCTCTTGGCTAACGAGAAATAGAAGAAGAAGAATAGTATAAAAGAACAAATCCTGCTCTGAGTAGCAGTTTCCCCGTGGAATTTCATTTTCTGAGTAGAGAGCAAGATTATCTGATTAAAAAGCTCAAATTTTCTGAAACCTGCTGAAGTCTACAGTGTGTAACGTGAGCATGTTTCCATATTAAAGTTATTCACCTGTGAAAAACTCATATAAAGCTTTTCCTTTAACAGTTGAAGAAATCTAAGAAACCGCATGTTGGTACAGAAATGAAAAATCTGAAGGTGTTGCTCCTGGGCTGTTTTTTTATTGGGTTTTTTTGTGTGTTTTTGTTTGTTTTTGTTTTTGTTTTTGGGGGGTTTTTTTGGTTTGTTTTCTGCAACAAAGCAAAGACAAACATTTGGAAAAGCGTTGGAACTCCAAAACATGACCAAAGCTAAGAAATTTAAGTAACTGTGTCTCAGACACATGAAAACATAGATTCTGTTGGCTAATGCAAATAGATAATCAATCATGTTTCTGATAGTGTGGAATGCAGATACGCCTGCTATTTGCAGAGACTTTAGCAGGCAGGCTGAGAGCTTTCTTGAATACTGGAACCTGGGGTGGTTTGAGGAATTATAAGTCAGTGATCTGAAATCTACAGATTTCTTGGACCAGTAAAATTTCAAAATAATATTGAAAACCAACATGGTGTTAACTTCTTATTTTGCCAAATAATAATGCTGGGGGGAAATCTTTACTTTTTATAATTGCCATCAGTTCATAAAAGATAGGGTTTCACACACTGTTTTTCTGAGGCTAGTTCATCATTGGATTCACCAGCAGATTTGGGATCAAGATATCTTTAGGTAGCTTCTTTCTCAAACCTTTCATTAGTGACTAACAGGCATACTGAAGTACCTGTCATTCATGACTGATCAAAACGAATGCTACTCAAAGTGATCAAAATGAGACAGGTGAATGTGACAGGATTAGACTCTGGCTCCAGATAATGGTTAGGTTCTTGAGAGCTTTTCTTTAGGATTCTCTTGCTTTACGGAGGATTTTTTCAAAAGATGGGGAGATAGGAGATTTAAACATTGACCAAATTCTGACTGGAGCATGTATTCAGCTTTCTTCTCCCTACCTCACCTTTAAACAAGAATCAACTCAATTCCTTGAACACCTGTTACTAAGCTTTGGGGCAAAATTTTTCAAACTTAAGCCTTCATAATTACAGCCTGAGAACCTATCAAAAGAGCAGATATCTAGGTTTTAGTGTCATAGGTTCTGAATGACGTCTGAGAGGGCAGCACTGGAATCTCAATTTTTAGGGAGTATAATGTAATTCTGATGCACATGGTCCATGGACCCCCCTCACCCCCAATCTTGAGAACCATTGTTCTAGGAGCTCTAAAGAAGTAACACTTCCAATTTCAGTAATGGCACACTAGCTAATTCAGATCAACCTTCTTGCTGAACATAATTTATTAAACATTTTTTAAATCATCAAAAAGCTAACAAAATACTGATAAATTACTAGGATGAGATCCAAAGGAGAATAGACATTCAGAGAGCCTACTTAATTTTGGACTTTTTTGCCTTAGGGTTATTAGCTGATTTTGAAGAGACAATTGAGAGGGTGAGCTGTCTTTATAACAACCTTGTGGGACAAGGGGGACAAAAGTCGGATCAGGACCCATCCAGGTGGAAACCTGGTAAACTGTTCCCTGTCCCATATGCACACACCCTCTAGAAGTAAGGGTGAACTGGAAATGACTTGCTTAGAGAATCTCAAATCTTGAACTTGAAATAAGGCAAGCCTGGAAAAAACAAATGAACATCCTCTCTAGAGGAAGATAACATCAACCTGGACATCAAATTATTTCTACAAATAATTTGTACAAAGTCAATGACTAAGCCTTAATAGAAAACAGAAAACCATGAGCAAGAACCACTAGGGAAAATGAGCACCAAAACAGATGCAAAGAGGCTCCACTGGGTAAATCTAAAAGACATTGACTATGTGAAACAATTATTATAATGTCCTGGGAGGATTAGATAGTTATTTAAAATGCATGACAATAATACCATAACAGTTTGGAAGGAGGTTAAATGGAGTTAAATGTTCTAAATTTCTCAGATTTAGAGGAGAGGAAAGATACCAATTAACATTAGATATTTATAAGTGAAGGGTACACATTGTAATTCTAGGATAACCACCAAAAGAATAAAAGAAGAGCGCATGATTTCTAAACTAAAAGAGATTTTTAAAAATGAATGATAAAAATGAGCAATCCAAAAGAAGGCAAGGGAAAAAAGAAAAGGAACACAAAATAGACAGGAAAAGAGACATACATAATTAGATAGTAGATTTAAATATAAATGTATCAGTCATTACACCGAGTATAAGTGAACTAAATTTTCCAGTGGAAAAACAAAGGTTATGAGATGGAAAGCAAACAAAACCCAACTATTTGTTTTATAAAGAGATACATTTAAAATATAAGAATAAAGAAAGGTAGAAAATAATGACATTTACACCACAATTGCTAATGAAAAGAAAGCTGATACATACCTAGGTTAATATCACCAGGGTACTCTCTACATCCCACTTCAGGTATGACCATGGAGAATAGTGGACAAGGAGAAAGCCAAAGTGCAGAGAGGACCAGGTTCAGAACATTCCTCCCAAAGGGCAGAACCAAGGCCTGACATGAGAACGTCTTTACTCCAGGGCAGGGAATTTGCAATTCTTGTCCAACATAGTTCATTTTTGCTATGTACCAGTGATTGCTAAGTGCTTTCCATTCTCCCTTTTCCAAATGGAGTTTTCACTGTAGATACCCTGTTTCTGCTCCACATTGCATACTGAAAGTTGAGTAGTGGTGGGGTAATACCATTCTGTTATTATATAGATAGCTGGAACTAGACTCGATGGAGAGGACTGCACACTACCCAGAGATGTTAGACTTGACTTTGTACTCAGTAAATGGATTCTGCTTTGGTTATCTCCTGAGGGGAGGGACGAATGTATTCTATGCTTGCAAATAAAGTGTGCATGGACATTTCAATGGCCAGGGGTTTTAGATGTGTCAGAGTTTGCTGGTTGTCCTGTGTCAATTTTCCCTTTCTATGTTTCAGTAACAGAGCCTCTGAGTCTGAGCTTACCACGCGACCACCCAGTAAGATACTACATTTCCCATCTCCCTCAAAGGTAAGTGTGGTCGTGTGACCAAGTTTGGGCCAATGGAATGTGAGCAGAAGCGATGTATGATAGAAACAATCGCTTGGGCGCTAAGCGGGATGCTGAGGATGGCAGAGCTGCCCGCCAGCCTAGGTTCCTGTCTGTCCTCATGAAACAGAGCTGCCCTGCAGGCCCTGGACTGTTACATAAGAAAGAAACTCCTATCGTATACAAGCTATTGTACTTTGGGGTTCCTTTGCTATAGCAACTTTCCCTGTACCCTAACTAATTCAGAGATGTGTTATGGAGTAACAGAGGTGAGTTGGAAATGTGGGAGTGAGGAAGAAGCAGTTGTTTTGAGCTGTAATAGCAAGCTCAGGAGTCAGCATTCGGAGGGGCTGGGAAAGGTGAAGCCCTGCAGAGAGACCAGGCAGATGGTGGTGCCACTGGTGGCAAGAGGGGAGCAGATGAAATGGCTTCAGCTACTTCATATGATGCTTATAATTCTGTATCTCCAGGTGTTACCTTTCCCAAGAATTCCATGCCCCTATTTCCAAAGGCTGGTCAGAGTTTCTCTCTGGAAGTCAGTCTCCACTAACTTAACATTTCAAAGCTTAGCTTTCTTCCCCAGAGAACTTTTTCCTCCTCTTGTAGCCCCTGTTCTGGTTAAGAACTGCACCTTTGAATATCACCCTTCACCCAGTTGTCCTCACTAGAAACTAGGGTTGCCCTTGATTTCTCCTTCATCTCCACACACAGTTTCTCATAAAGATCTCCTACTTCCATTCTTGTGTGTTCATTTCTCTATGCCCATGGCCAGTGCCTTGATTTGGTTCTCCACGACCTCGTAACTCAAATGTGGCAGTGTCCTGCTTTCAAACTGATCTCTCTGATTTCAATTTCCCCCATGCTTCACATTCCTCTCAGGGCTGTTCTTCCAAAACAGAAACCTGAACATGACACTTCACCTGTTTGTGCACTTCCCTCCCATTTCTTATAAGCCAAGGAGCCCAGAATCAGTACACAACTGAGCTCCCTTGAAACCCAGCCAAGCCCCTCAGTGCGCTGTGGGCCCTGAGCACACTGGGCACTGGCAGTGTCCTCTCTGCCCGGAATGTCCTTATCCTCTCTTCACTTAACAGACTCCTACTCAGCCTTCATATCCCAGCTTAGATATGACTCATAGGAATATTTTCCCAGAATTCTCTAGCTTAGTTGCTGAGTTATTCTCACCTCAATACTTGATCAATTAATTAATTAAAGACAAAATACTAAGAACCAAATCCCAAAGAACACACCCAGCAGAAAAGCAGAAAAATTCAGAAGTCTAGAATTGTACTATATTCTGTACATACAGTAAAAGGAATTTATAGATTTTAAAAAATCATCTAAATGTGTTTATAGATGAGGTTCAAAGAAGTTAAATGACTTTCCCAGAATCAGACAGCAAAACTGGGAGTAAGACATGGGTTTTCTAGTTCAGTTTCTGGTGCTGCTTTCCTATATTTTACTATGAAAGTACTAGAGGATAATTTTAATAGAAGGGTTTGTCTGGAAGGTTGAGTTTAAAAGTTTCATACTGTGGATGTTTCAGTCTAAAGTTGTATTTCAAGTCATATATGGAATGATCAAAATGTTACTGTAACCTTGTCACAGAGATGATTATCTAAGTTGTGAGTCATTTTCCAAGAAGGACTGATAGAGATCTTGTGTGTGTACCTATGTGCACTCTGAAAACCAGAAAGCATCCAGTCCAGAGGCTTTACATGTTTTTTTGACCCAGGAGCCCTTTCAATCTGGCTTCTCAGAATACTGTTTTTGAATGCGTAAAACGTCATACATAGGAATACAAAGGAAACCAATTAGTTTGCAAATGTGATTATCAAAATATTAAAAATTCTAAGTGTGTGATAGATGTACTTTTTTATTTGTAAAACTTTTCATTGAAGTATAATTGATTTACGATGTGTTAGTCGAAGTACAGATTTTGAAGTGACAGTGAGTGTAAATGATATTTCAAGGTATCTGCAGCAACTGTCATGTGATATGAAAATATTTGTGATTTCTATAGGTGACAAGTCACAGGTCCTTCTAAATACAACTATACTTTGATACTTACATTCACAGTTGAAGGAAACACTTAGCTTTTGTTAGAGATCAGTGAAAGTAAAGAGGAAATGTTTTTCTCTCAAGTTCACTGGTCTGCTAAACTCCAGGTTGAAGATGCCTGGATTAGTACAGTGTCTTCACTTTAAAGGTGAGGAATCTTTTATATGAAATATGTAAAACGAGTTCAAATAAAATCAATTCAAAGAGAACCATCGATGGAGTCTGTGCAATTGGCGTCTCTCTACTCAGCATATCTCCTTCAAAGAGCTAGGGTTTAAAAACAGACTTGGAAAAGGGAGGTTGCTCTTAAACCACTTCTGCCTTCTGCTCCATGTTCCTGGTCCCTAAGGCCTGCTTGGTGCAAAGGCTCTTGGGGAGGGGAGATGTAAGAACCAAATTCATATTAGTACCTCAGTAAATGATCCTGCCACTGTGCTAAGAACCAGAAGAAAAATGAGGCAAGTTTTGAATAAATTCCAACAATAAGAAATATCCAAGCAATATATACAAATATGGAATCATTATATTGTACACCTGAAACGAATATAATATTAAGATGTCAATCATACCTCAATACTAGAAAGAAAAAAAAGAAGAATGTGACTATTGTTTGGGATACAAATCAATCTGAATGTCTACTGGTTGTTTTTAATTTGGCTTTTTAAAAAATATACATTTTACAGGATGTGGAATAAGGCTTTAAAATATTTAATATTAATATTTAAACCAAATAATTGACTAAATATGGCAAAAATTCACTGAATTCCTGTCTCTACTATTGATGCCTCCTTTATCATGTATTAGATTATTAAATGTACTAGTATCTGATTCTTGAGTATATAATTCCTTTTTTGCATTTTTTTTGCCTTTTTATGTTATTTTTTTCATTTTTCAGTTTTATTAGAATTGTTACAATTTGACTGCACATATGTAATGTATTGCATATAAATCCATATACACAATATACTTCACATATTTTTAAAAATTTACATACATGTACTGTTCATTGTTTCTAAGAACATTTAGAGCTTTAGCTTTTTAAACTTACATAGTTATCAAAGGAATAAAGCCAACTACAAAATAACAATTCAAAAAGATACATACACGCTGCTATTAACAGCAACATTATTTATAATTGCCAAGATATTGAAACATCATAAGTGCACATCAGTAGATGAATGGGCAAAGAAGATACAGCATAAAAAATGGAATACAACTCACCCACAAGAAAGAAGGATATTTTGCCGTTTGCAGCCCTTCATTCAGTTTTTTTTCCACTTCAAAAACCAGAACTAACTGGCATAAACATTTCCATTGCATCAAAAAGAACAAAATACCTAGAAATAAACTTAACCAAGGAGGTTACCTATACTCTGAAAACTGTAAAACATTGATGTAGGAAATTGAAGATGATACAAAGAAATGGAAAGATATCTTGTGCTCTTGGATTGAAAGAATCAACATTACCAAAATGGCCATACTACTCAAAGCAATCCACAGATCCAGTGCAACCTTTACCAAAGCAATCCACAGATCCAGTGCAACCTCTATCAAAATTGAGTATATAATTCTTTAATTCTTGTGCCACTCCACTCATGTGCTACACTGACTCATTTAATTACATCTCTGAAATTTTGGGCATGTGAACAATAATAATAATAAGAAAATCATCATCATCATCCAAAAAACAAGTATTTTAAAATCCCTGTTAAAGAACAGAATGCCCAGCCTTGAATTGAACTGATATTGTCTAGAGGTCCTGAGCAGCTGAATCTTTCAAACCTTTTTGAGCACAACTCATGGTAAGAAATAGATTTTTTTTCCCATTGGAATTCATCACAAGCATGCATGCGTACACATATATACAATTCAAGCAAAAGTTACCCCAAACTTCTCTTAAGTGATGGGGCCCACTGGTATTTCTTGTCCTATGCCATTCCATTCCTTTCAAAGAAATGCTGGCCAGTGACCTGGTATTTATGACCAAGATTTGAGTCACAACTCATAGTTTGACAAACACTGAACCAGATGAACTCCGAGGACTGTCAAATTTTGAGATTCTGTAATGTATATGTGGATCACAGAAATAAGTACAGTGTTAGAGAGGGCAAATGTTTTCAAAAAAATGCTCTTGTGTTTATTTCCAACTCTTTATTTTGTAAAATTTCAAAACTACTGAAAAGTTGAGAGAAAAGCACAATAAATGCCCTATACCATTCACCAAGATTGGCAATGATTTTACCACATTTGCATCTCTCTTTCTCTCTCTCTCTAAACACACACACACATTTAAATTTATTCTTTTTTATTGAATTATAGTTGATTTATGATATTGTGTTAGTTTAAGGCACACAGCATAGTGGTTTGGTTTGGTTTTGAGGGGGGTTGGGGGCAGATTATATCCCATTATAGGTTATTACAAGATATTGGGTACAATTCTTTGTGCTATGTAGTAAATCCTTGTTGCTTACCTATTTTATATGTAGCAGTTTGTATCTGTTAATCTTGTACTCCTAATTTGTCCCTCCCCCAACTAAGTTTACTTTTGTTACTTTTGCTGAACCATTTGAAAAAAGTTGCAGACGTTCTGATACAATGTCCCGAAATACAATACTTTATCCTGTGTCTCTTGAGAATAGGGATATTCTTCTTCAAAGTTACAATATTATCATATCCAACAAATTTAACATTAATGCAACAATATTGTCTCGTGTACAGACCACATTCACATTTCCCCAACTGTCCCCCAGATGTCACTTACAGCTATTTTTCTCCCAACCCAGGATCCAGTCAAGGACCATGCAGTGACTCTTCCAGATGAGACCTTAAGAAAGAACTCCTCAACAGAGCCCAGTCAACTTACAAAACAAGAGGTAATAATGTATTTTAAAACATTTTATTGACATAATTTCAGACTTATAGAAAAATTGCCCAAATAGTGCAATGAATTCCCAGCTGTCGAGTCCCCAAGTGCTTTACTATCTGTGACCTATTCCTCTCTCAATTTCCATCATCTATCTCTATCTGTATTTCTCCCTCTAGCTTTTTTCTGAACTACGTAAGAGTAAATGGTAGTACGATGCTCCTTTACCCTTAAATATTTCAGTTTGTATTTCCTAAAAATAAATTCTCTTGTGTAATTACGTAGAATTATAAAAAACAGTTAACTAACACTGATACAATACTATAGCCTGGTCTATATACCTGATTACGATGTCACCAGTTGTCTCAGTGATCTCTTTTACAGCAAAAAACCAGAAAACCAGAAAATTCCAAGATACATGTTGCCTTCAGTCATCATGTCTGTTTAATCTCCTTTAATCTGGAAGACTTTCTAAGTCTTTCTCTGTATTTCATAACACTGACATTTTTTAATAAGTGCAGATCAATTATTTTGTAGATTGTCCTTCAGTTGCAGGTCGTCTGCTGTTCCTCGTAATTAGATTCAGATCATGTATTTAGGGCATGAATCCCTAGGAGTCATGTTGAGTTCTTCTCACTGTGTCCTACCAGTAGGCACATCCTGTCGAGTAGACCTGTTACTGAGGATGTTAATTTTGGAGATACTTAAAAAAATTTTTTAGAACATTTATTTTATTTTTAGTACAATTTATTTTTATTTTATTTATGTATTTGGGGAGAGGGAATTAGGTTTGTTATTTATTTTTAACGGAGGTACTGGGGATTGAACCCAAGACCTCATAGCATACTAAGCACATGCTGTATCACTGAGCTATACCCTTCAAGAATGTTAATTTTGATCGTTTGGTGACGCTGACATCTGCAAGTAACTATAAAGTTACTGCTTTCCTCTAGTAATAAATAAATTTCTTCTGGAGAGATGCTTTGAGACTTTGTAACTATCCTGCTACTACCTCAACTTTCACCCACTTGTTTTAACACACATTGATGATTCTTGTCTGAAACAACTATTATTATGATAGCAGCCAAATGCTGATTTTTATATTTCCATTATTCCTTCTTTATTTATTATTTGGTTTTCTACTGTACGAAAGATCTTTCTCATCTTATTTATTTACTTGTTTGTTTGTTTGCTTATTTAAGTGCGGACTCATGGAGTCTTATTTTATTCAATAGATTATAACCCTTAATGTTATTATTTACTTTTATGCTCAAATTGTAGCCAGTGGGAGTGCTTCAAGCTGGCTTCTGTGAACTTTTAACATGCCCCCATCATTGTTTGAGCTCTCCCTTACTTTCTAGCACAAGATGATCCCGGGTCAGCTTTCATTTCTCCAAGAATCCCTGGTTCCTTTTAGTAGAGAATGTTAATTTAGAAACTGTAATTTGGGTTCTCAGTATGTTCGTTTTTACTGGAGTGTCGTTCCTTCTAGACGCTCTCAGCAGACAGAGCTGGGAAATAGTGGGAAATAAATACATATTGAATACACATACACAGTCACACATATCTATATCCATGTCTCCCTCTCTCTCTGCCTCTCTCTCTCTCTCTTTTTCTCTCTCTCTCTCTCTATTATACATATAATATATATAAATAAACTGATACCTCTAGTTCCAACACAGTAGTGTTTGATCTGTTCCTCCTTCTTTCCATAAGTGTGACTACCTTCTCCAAAACAGAAAAACCTGGATCCCATTACGTACAATATATTTACTTATTTGCTTAATCCTAGAATGCATAGAAAGTAGTTTCAAAATTGTGAATCCTTGCCTATCCAAAAGAAGCTTTCCTACTAGAGAGTTCAATATTTGTTTAGAGTTCTTTTTCTCTTTAGCCTGAGGGCATGTGGTACAAATTCTGTGTATCAGAGTGACTTGGATCAATACTCCCACCCCAACGTTACTATGTTATTTATTTGAAAAATGCTTTAGTTCATTTGTTTCTGTTTGTATTCAACTTTAAGATCCCCTCAATTATTATTTTAAGCCACTAATTTCTGAGTTGCTTTATCTGGCAGCAATGGATAACCCAGACACCATGGCATCGTATCACAAGGCACATGATTTTAGTTTGTCCCATTATCAATGATGAAAAGTCGTATCATTTGGTTAAAGGCTTGTTTACCAGATTACTTCATTATAATTAACAAGTAATCTGAGCAGTGTCTACTTTCTTTAATAACGTTTGCTACACAGATTTTTTTTTTTTTTTGCTACACAGATTTAAGACCACCATAACAACAACAATCAAAGGACTCTACTTCAGAGTTAAGTCTTTCTCTGTGGAAATACCTGCCTTAATGCCATGGGAACACAGACAGAAGGTGAGCACCACTGACAGATTATCCAGCTAGTGGACTCCAGAGCTGGTGTAAAAAGGTGGACATCCAGCTGTGATGAAAATATTTGATTCTATTTGTAGTTAAACAGAGTCTGTACTTAAAACAGAATGAAATAGAATGCTACAAACTCTGTGTAGTTTGCCAACTTGAAATTCTGATCCCAAATCACGAGACTTGGAGAAAGGAAAGGAGCAAAGAGCCATCTTTTTATTTTAAGCTTTTCCTGTGGAATTAGGAGCACATGCCTGCTGAGAAAGAAGTCTATTAAGGACACTGCTTCTCTCTTTCACAGCAATGCAATTGTTTCCTGGTTAGGAGGAATATCCCACTGTATAAAGCTAGTCAGGCTTATGTTGCCTGCTTGGTTTCATGTCTTTTAACTTCTGCTTCTAAGTATATGATTTGATCATACTGAAATATGGTCTTCTTGTATTCCAGACTTATAAATGTTCATGGCTATATCCCTCATGCCAAGGATGGCACATAGTAGGGGCAGAGTGTGTACACGCACAGATAAATGAATACAAGGGGATTCCCTTTTTTTCATTCATTACTCACAGATTTACAGCATGCCCACTCTCCTGTTACATGCCCTAAGTTTTCCTAGGCACTGAGCCACAGAGGTTAATAAAACGCAGCCCCTGCTTCAAAGACTCACAGGCTAGAGAGGAAGAGAGACACATAAACAATGGATCCTAAACCTTGGGTCCAGGCACCGATATAAATATGCACTGGGTTTGTTGTTGTATTTATAAGGCATTGTCAATTAATTCACAATTTAGGCACATCAAAATATTGTTCACAAGGAAGGGCAAAAAAAGCACAGTATCTCAGTAAGCAGGCAAAAGAACCTAGCATAGTTATAGAAAAGACACGTAGAGAACCCCACGGTCTCAGTGTCATCACCGTCATTTTTTAAAAGTAGAATTTGAATTAGCTGTCAAGTAGCTAGGATTACCAGTCTTGCTAAACTAGGGTGAGAAAAGGTCTTCTGCAGTTAACCTGAGTTAAAATTATAAAATACTTTAATGAGATTTCTCTTAGTGTCAACTGTAGTTTTAAAAATGAAGACAGTCAAAAAGAGAAAAATATTTTAGTATCATGTATAAGTCCACCCATAGGTGATGGTAAGCATCTTTGTTTATACCCTATTTTTCTAGAACATACATACTTTAAAATATATGAAAGTAGACTAATCTATATTTTCTTTTGTGACCTATTTTTTCTCACTTAATACATTCTGAATATCTTTCTACAGCATCAAATATTCTCCTAGGATATAAAATGTAAGGGTAGCACAATATGAAAAGAGAGAATGTTGGAATAAAATTGTTGACTAAGCTACAAAGTTAGATACAAATGCAAATGTTAGTGTTATCATTTTTACCAGGCAGAAATCATTTGCAATTCTACTGGACTAAATATATATATATAAAACATTCACAACCTTATCGGTCTTTTCTACAAGTTAACATGTAAGAATGTGACTTTATAGAGTCTGGACCCTTATCAATAGTAATTAGTAAGTTTAAGTTACCCTTCTCTAGAGCCACACTATCCAATATGGTAGCCACTAGCCATAAGTGACCACTGAGCACTTGAAAGGCTAGTGTGACTTAGGAACTGAAATTTTGGTTTTATTTAATTTTACTCAATTTTAATTTAAAACTGAAGCAGCGTAAAATATTTTTCCATTAAATTCAATTTTATTGTTTTGTTAGGACTACATTTCACTTTAACTGTTGTATCTTGTGGATGTTGCTATACTGTAATTTGTGAGTTGTTTCCAATATTACATGTAAACTCATCATCTTTCTAGTTAGTGTCAACCAGTTGAATCAATTCAAATTATTTTTTTCTATGCATTAATTTAACACTGAAAAGTGTTTATTTGAACACTTTATACAGACAGCACCATTTACAGTGATACCTATGTGCATTGTAATTGGTAACTAAATTAAAATACTTCTTATGCTTTAAATTATAATTAAACTATTTTTAAGTAAGTAAGTACGGACTAACTTTTAAATTTAAAATGAAAGCATAGTACTGAGGCAGAATTGAGTGGAGATGTGGATACTAGCACTATACCAGAAGAGGAAAAAACAGAGATTGGAAGGACATATGTTGTACTTTCATGTAATCTGCTGCAGCAGACCAAAATTTAAAAAGCTGTTTGTTGTGTAAAAATTGTTTAAAGATAATAAAGTTGATAACAGTAAGGAACATTTTCAGCAAGCACGGAGTGAATTTGATGAGAACAGTCAAAAAAGAATCAATAAAATTAGCTGCCTACATTCAAAATGAAATGTCCAATGAAAATTGTTTTAAAAAATGGTAACAGGCTCTGAACTTGTAACTTTGGCCAGCTTTATAATGGCTTGGATTCTTGCACATAAAAGAAAAATGTTTTAGATGGTGATAGTAAAAGAAATTATTTCAGTTATGGAAAAAGTGCAAGTACTTTTCTATAGCTTTAGGTGATTCATGTAATACTAGACACTGCCTAGTTGATATTTTGGGTAAGTTTTGTCTCAAAGGACTGCCATATTTGCAAAAAGTACCAATTCATAGCCTAAAAAACTGTGACATAGATATTCTTAAATCTTTT